TATTAATAACATACTATTACTTATATAATTACTATAGATCCGGCTATAAGTTGATTTTAAACTACGTCCCTATGTGTTTAGTCACAAGTGCTGGATCATTGATCTTGTTGGAGGCTCTCGGGTGACCCATTATGAGCAAAGAGAATTAAGTGGATATCCTTTGGGAATTTAGGTGAATTCAAACTTCAATTTAGCAGGATCAATGGCTAAGAATAAATAAACACCTCAATAAAACAGTGTAACCGGATAAACTCATTGGTTTACAATATTTTTTATTACAGTTTGAAAATTAGGTATTCTCCTTCGATCAATAAAAGTGAAAGGACTAGTATCTTATTGCTACACTAAGCAAACAAGCAAACCAGGCATTATGAAGATAATTCCAATCTAGTTGTTCAAGAGATTTATACCGATCAAGAACTCCAATGATATTGTAAAATGTGAATATTAGGGAGGGTGGAAATGTATGTTGTTTCACTCAAGATTCTTGTCTTTTGATCAGTGTATTGGGAATTCGGGTAGTATTGTATTCTTATGTTCTTTGAAATTTACTCTCTACTTATAATAATGTTTTGGCGATACAAATGAGCCTATGAAGTGTAGGATGCATAAGAGCAGGGTCGGGTCCAATAGGTAAACAACTTAAATATTTGCCTAGACCACCAAAAAAACAGAGGTCCCCAAATACAATACAGGTCTTTAAGGAATTGACTGTGTTTGGCCCAAACTATTTTCACAAGGATACTTTCAAAGTCGGTACAAAAAATTAGATATAATTGTAAAAAAGTACATAGAACAAAATATTTAAAAAAAAAAATACACAACTGAAATACAAAGACGTAAATGCCGATTTTGTAAAAAAAAATTTCCCTAAAAACTTTAACAAGACATTATTAAGTGCTGAAATTTATGGTCATTTAATTCAAAATCTCTTATCTTTAATGCACCTTGATTCATGTGTATTTTTTTTTGGAAATTAATTTTATTTTTAAATTGTATTTATACATTAAATATTTACTACTACTAATTTTATAGGAGAATTTTAAAATATCGTTTATTTTAGAATATATCATTTGTTTGAATTTCAAAATTTGTTAATATCTGAACTCCGTAATAGTATGACAAAAACAATGTATCAATTACACTGTAACAAAGACAGTGTTTAATAGTTTTGTGCATGTGGTAACAAATTCAAAACGGAGATAGACTATTTTGAATGAAATTATATAAAAATATATGTTTGACATAATGTAATAGTATAATATTTTGTGTAAATAACTTGTTACACTGTTATATTGTTCAGATATTAATATAATTTGAAAATAAAACCACTTTCCAAAAAAAATACGCATGAATCAAGGGAGGACATACAAATATAGAATATTAAAATTCTCTCATAAAATTAGGAGATGTTTAATGCACCACTTTTCAAAGAAAATAAGTATGGGTCAATGGAGAACAAAAATATCACAAAAAAATCAGTAAAATTCAAATAATGTACTACTTAGATACAAATAAGTATCAAAGTTGAAGACTTAATTACTCAATATTTTTTTTTTGTGTACGTTTTTACGATTAAGCCTAATTTGGTGTACTCCCTTTCAATTTTCGCATTGGATTATTAGGTTGTACTGTTTTATTTGGGTATTCTGTTTACTCCCAAAGGACACACACTTAATTTTCTTTGCTCATAATGGGTCATTCGAGAGCCTCCAACTTAAGAGTAATGATCCGGCAACTTGTGACTAAAACACATAGAGACATGGTTTAAAATCAATTTATAGCCGGCCCTATAGTGATTATATAAGTAATAGTATGTTATTAATTTAGTGGTGTCCCCCTGGCAACCTCAACAAATTTTCATTCTAATAAAAGGAGCAAATTTTACAATGATCCCGTCGATAATGCCCATCTTACATATTATTGTAACTATGATTGTTGCTTCACACAGTCCCCCTCAATTTTTTTTTTTTTTTTTCACATTGCAATTCTAACTATGATTCTTAATTTCATGTAGCCCGAATTGTAGAAATTTAAAGTTTGTATTTACTCCATTTTAGGACATGTGTCGGACACTTGATTTTAAGGCAACACAAGAAAGTTAATATAGAAGGGGCAAAGTGAGATTGGAACATAGTTAAGGGGGTCAAAGAGTAGTTCAACCTATGAGAAAATTCGCAATCCTATTGCTTAAAGCATGCGAAATGTTATTTATACTGAAAAAGTTGACATGATTTTTTTATTTGATGAATCACAACCATTGAATAAATAGTAAGTTCTAATGAATATTGAGATCTACAATTAAATTAATGACAGCAATTGATCAAGTCAATTAAAACATCCCTCTTGAACACCCACAATTACAAATCAACAGCAAACAAAAAAGAGCAATGGTAGTTGGACATAATTTATTGACTTATTTTGTTAACTTACTTGATTACTATTGAATTGACAGTGAATCTCAATATCAATCTAACGGTTGTGATAGATTATGTCAGTAAATTGAGTCCAAAAAATATTACGTTTAAACAAAAAATATATATCTTATGGACTAATATGATATTTTTTTGTTCTGAAACAATAGGGGTGCAACTCGGGTGAGTTGAACAACAACTCTAGGTATATAATCTTCAACCCTAACTCTAATCCTAACCCTAATCCTACCTCGGGTTAGGGAACTCAACCCGAACACTGTCCGAGTTTAATTTGGGCAGGCTCGGGTTGAATTCGAATTGATGATTTCGGGTTACTTTACGGGTTCAATTCGGGTAGAGCCCAAAATAGGCTTGTTGTTTTAAACCTAATACATATATTACATAATATTCACCTAAATTAACAACCAATAACTTCAACCAAGTTTTTAACGAGAGAGGTTGCGAGAACAAGAGACGCTCAGAGAACGAAAGAGACAAAGAGAACGAGAGAGACAGAGAACGATAGAACAAAAATGAAAAATCAGTGCTAATGTTTTATATATATATAACTTTTTTTTTTAATTTATCGAGTTCGGGTTGAACTCGGGTTCACGAGGCCTTAACCTGAGCCCAACCCAAATTGAATTTGAGTTGAGATTTTTTGACCCAAGCCCAACACAAGTATTAAAAACCCTTGCTCAAGTCCTAATTTTTTCGAGTTAGACTCAGATTAAAATCGGATTGCCCAACCCAAGTTGCACCCCTGTGAAACAACCACAAATCTCAGACAAAGGTACACGTAAGTAACTCATACAGTTATGTAAGACCATTTCCACCTTCCCATCAAATCTTTGAGTTCCAAATAAGTCACTAACTTACCAACATACACCATTTCCAAATTGTATAATCTATGTAGAAAGAATTGAAATCCAAATAAGTCACTGACTTGCCAACATTCAATGTTGTAAGCCAAAAGGGAATGGTATATTTAAGTGAAGAAAGATACTATTCCAAAACTGGTAACCATAATAATTTGTAAATATAGTTGGAAACACACAAATTGAAGACCAAATGTAACATGACATTTGCAACCACCATGCCCCAACGACATTGTTGATGCCTCCAAGGCAGTTTGGAAGGCTTTACAAGTGCCAGAATCCGAGCAGGGCCAGTTGGATATATTTTGGTTTGATGTTTGATTTCTAACATTCCAATCAAGTTTCTAGTTGCCGATGACTCTAAAAGTCTTAATGCACTTATTTTGTTTCTTGCATACTAGTATTGCAAATGTCATGTTACATTTGGTCTTCAATTTGTGTGTTTCCAACTATATTTACAAATTATTATGGTTACCAGTTTTGAAATAGTATTTTCTTTCTTCACTTCAATATACTATTCCCTTTTGGCTTACAACATTGAAGAGATTCAATACGTCATCTCCGGTTCCTTGCATCTTAAACAACTCGAATCAAGGGCTTCCATTGCACCATTAGCAAGGTCTTGTTGAACAGTGATCGTCAGTGTTTTGATTGATCTTAATGTGCAAGGAATGAATTGAAATTCAAAAACTTATTATTTTAGCCATTAAGCACGAAACTTATAACATCTACAAACTCGCGATGCATCGCTTTGGCAAACGAGTAATTAGCATTGCTCAAGGTCCTAGTGTAACTTCTATTTTCTTTAATTAAGCATTCAATAACATGGGCATTTTCATTCACCAATGCCTAAATTGATTATCTCTAATTTTTTTTTAAAAACAACATTATGATTCTTGTCATATTTATCATTCTTCACTCCACCATGGTGAAGCTAGATCCATTTGGATTACCATGCTGCCGCCATAAGGTCACGAAGGACATACATTACTTCAAAAAACATCATCATTAGATACAAAAGCTTTGGTAGAATATAGTGAATATATGCACATTTCCTAGGACAGTGTAATAACTCTTGTGCAGCCTGCACCTCATAGGCTCATTTTGTATCACCAAAACATTATTATATGCCAACAGTAAAATTCTAGAGAATACATGACAGTACAGTGCTGCCGGAGGGCTTGTAACACTGAGAACGACTCTGAGTGTTGCGTAGAAGGCAAGTATTACGGCATCTACAAGTGCTTACTGCGTGTGTCTGGCAGGACCAAGGCGGTCTTGACAATCAACAGTTTTGAGAAAGGCGGTGATGGTGGTGCAGAGTCGGAGTGTGACAATAACTACCACTCGGATGACACCCCGGTGGTGGCCTTGTCCACTGGTTGGTTTAATAAGAAGAATAGGTGCCTGAACAACATTACCATCTATGCCATGGCCGGAGTGTAGGGGCAATGGTGGTTGATGAATGTGACTCCACAACAGGGTGTGATGCAGATCATGATTATCAACCTCCATGCCCCCAACAACATCGTCATGCCTCTAAGACTGTGTGGAAGGCTTTGGGAGTGCCAAAAAATGATTGGGGAGAGATAGACATATACCGGTCTGATGCTTGATTCTCATAGTACTCAAGACGTACTACAAATAAAAGACAACCCAACGATCGAAACTCTACTTAAATGAATAAAATAGCAGTGTTTGGCACTGCTAGTTTCATTATAGTGTTGAACATAGAAAGCTGTGGCTTTCTTTCCCTCTTTATGCTAAATTCCAGAAACTGTACCACTGATGGTTACATGTATAAAAGTGATACATAATAATGTTTGGGTTTTTCTCTTGTCCCCTTTACATTCTCAAAATCATCAAATCACTGAACCTTGTCAGCAGCAAGTACTGAATCATCCATTGAACACAGTAATCTAAGAAAAGCTGGATTTAAAAGGTGGATTGATCATCCTGTGGAATATCTGAATACTGGGGCACTTAAGAAACGGAAACAGTGTTCAAAAATATTTTAGAAAAGGAATGGGGACAGAATAAATTTGGATAATTGTTTTCCGAAAAATTTGTCAAAATATACCAAAATCCCTCAGAAACTCAAGAATTTCAATATTCGATTATTGACTGATCTTGATTTCCATCAAAAACATAATGTTTTGATCACTTTCAATGAAATGAAATTTTCATCTTGATACCAAATCAAAGTTCTTCCTCAATTTAAATCGCTTGAACAATAAGATTAGAATCATCTTTTTAATGCCTAGATCACTCATTTGCTTAATCTAGCAACAAGATATTCATATTTTCACTTGATTGATCAAAAGAGAATGGTCTAGCTTCAAACTATTACAAAAACCATCGTAAATCAATTGGATTAGGGTAAATTGAAAGGTGGTACACTAAATTGAGTTTAATTGTAAAAGAGTACACCGAAAAAAATATAAAAGAAGTTCTTAATTTTAGTTCTTAATTGTGTCCAAGTACATAATTTAAAATTTTCAAATTTTTCTTTGGCATTTGTGTCCTCCCTTAAATCATGCAATTATTTTTAGAAACTCTTTTTTTTTCAAATTATATTTATGTATTAAAAATCTCATAATTTAATGGAAGATTTGATTCTTCCATTTATTTTGAGGATAAATCAGTTAGTTTAAATTTTAAATTTTGTAACAATATCTTTTTGTTGTCTTCTTCTTCTTAGGCCTAAAAGTAATTTATCAGTGCAAGTTCGAAACATAATTTCATCCTTATCATTCATTTTAAGCAATTACAAAATTTAAATTCATGACTTAATTAACGTAGAGACGAATTCTCTTTTCTTTTCAATTGGTTTGGTATTTTTTATGAATCAACAAGGGTTTTGAAAGCTTTAATATGGTATTATTGCGATAATCAATAAGTTATAATTTCTGTTCTTTAATCTCGTTTCTTTGTTCACACTACCTGCATCATTTATAAACTTTTACCAAGCATGGCGACAGATTATTTCCATGACTGGAATCATTATGATATGTTTGGATCAAGGATTAGGGATTGATCGACATTGGATTAAAGGCAGTATTTTCGTGGATTGTCCATGAATTTTGCAGCATATGCTTATAGAGCTTGCTCTGTTATCTTCATATGAAACAACTGCATATGGTTTTATACCTTTCTAAAACATCAGTCTTCCAAAACACATTAACATTGGTTTGCAAGCTGAGATGATGGTAAACCAAGACGTTGATGTAGCACAATTGACTGCTAAAAACAGCGATCGCATCCTAAAATTCTTAAAAAAAAAAAAGGGTTTCACTGCGTACCTAGTGTACAAAGCTTCCACCATTACGGGTAACCTTATCCTGCAAATAGTGAGGTTGTTTTCACGACTCGAACACTTGACTTTCAGGTCACAACGGAGCATTCTTTCTGCCAAGACCCGCCTCTTATATTGAATAAGCAATTGATGGGAAAAAATAAAAAAGGAACACGAATGCTTCTTTGGATTGTATAATAGAACTTAGATTAAGACCCTTTGAATTGTTTAAATGAACAAATTTCAAAAACAGACCGTGGCAGTAATGTTGTGTAAGGTAAAAACAAAACATGAACAGAATGCTCCCTTGGAACCTCTTAACCAAGACAAGCATAATACAACTTCCAATGCCCCCATATCGGGCTAAACTCGTTGTACAATGAAGCTGCAAAGCTCAAACTTATCTAGCACTCTGCACAAGAAATATCGGGTTTTATTGTAATTCTAGGCACAAGGCAACTCTTATAAATTCCCACTTGAAGCTTCTACCTTTCTCCCTCCACAAACATAGAGAAAGTAAGTGAGAGAGAGAGAGAGAGGGCAAAATGAAGGGAAATCACTCAAAAACACATGTAATTGTTTTTGTCATTCTCTTATTTGCTGCGTGTTTGGATGTTGAAGCACATTCATGTAGGCCAAGTGGAAGAATTAGGGGAAAGAAACCAGACCCTGAGAAATGCAACCCAGAGATTGAATCTGACTGTTGTATTGAAGGTAAAATGTACACAACATACAAGTGTTCACCACCAGTTACCAAACACACCAAGGCGAAACTCACCCTTAACAGCTTTGAGAAAGGTGGAGATGGTGACAGCCGTAGTGTATGTGACAACAAGTATCACTCTGATGACTTACCAATTGTGGCACTGTCAACTGGTTGGTTTAACAATTTGAAGAGGTGCTTCCACAATATCACCATAACTGCAAATGGGCGGAATGTGGTGGCGATGGTGGTGGATGAGCGTGACTCCACCATGGGATGTGATAAAGACCACGATTATCATCCACCATGTGATAACAACATTGTTGATGCTTCAAGAGCTGTGTGGACAGCCTTGGAAGTGCCTCTCGTAGATTGGGGCGAGTTGGAAGTCACTTGGTCCCCTGTCTAGTTTGAACTACTTGCTTATATTAATTCCACAAGTACATCTTTTTCTTGATGTTGATCATAGAATGTAATCTGCCAAGTTATGTTTATAGTGTAATATACAAAATCTGCATTAATGTTACTGTTATGCACCACAAACAAATAGCAAAACGAACTAAAAAAAAAACCCACAAAACTTATAAATTCGAGACATTTTAGCTCGAAAGAAACCAAAGAGTTCTCTGAAACAAGTGCTAGAGAACAAGTAAATCAAACTGATCTCCCAAATTACCTCGAACATGCCAACAGCATTCTGTTCATGTGCTCAGCATTCACTCCTACAATGTTTATGGTACTCAAAAACTCTTGTTCCCCAATGGAGTTAGAACTCCAAATCCTGAAAAGATCAAATTTCTAAAGCACCATCAGTCTCCTATTCGGGTCTGATATTGGAAATGGGTCCCAATTAAAACTAGGACTCACAGAGTTTCTTAATTTGGGTATGAATTGGAGTCGAATACAAGATAAAACCACCACAGTTTCTACAAAATTTAGCTCATGTGCAGCAGGGAGATGTGTGGTAGGGGATGGTTGATGTTCTCCAGGAATAATTTCCCCTGACATGTGGAGTAATATTTCAACTTTGTTTACAACATATTTTCTTTGCAGTTTGAATCCTAAAAGGAACTAGACCAATCTCTTTTGATGCACAAAATTTAAAAAAAAAAACAGTTAATAGTGATCTGGTGCCATCTCCTTCCACATGAATCCTTATAATTGTAAGGTAGTTTGGCACTGGATGGTACTGGATATCTGATCAGTTTGTGTCGCAAATCTAACTCCCAATATTTTTAGACTACTGTAATTTCTTCTCTCTTGTTTTGTAGCCTTAAAACTATACATTACATGCGTGGGCGACCTCCTCTATGTGATTTTTGTGTCATGGCAAAGCAATGAGTATTGATCTTTGGAGTGATTATAATTGAATAGCACTAGTACGCTCCGTTTTGTCTCTAATATAACTTTGCCGTTTTCCCTTGGGTTTTGGATGCGCGCAATGGTGTTCTCGCTCTAAGATATCTTCCCCCACTTCTTCTACATCAGTTTCTTCTAAATTATGCACTTTTGTATATAAAAAAAAGAAGTGCATGGTTAACATAAAGAAATTGATTAATTAAACATATTTAAAGAACAGAGTGCATTGTTAGATTTAACCAAGGCATCTGTCCGTGGTGGCAACGGCGGAAAACAATGTCTTTGCTCTGTTAAAAAAATTGAAACAGTTCTGATGCTTCCTAAATTTGATTCCTCATAAACCAAATGAGCATTTACTGGAAAATATGACCCAAAATAAGAAAAAGATTACAAAAATGAAGCAGAATTTTCAAGCTTGAACAGACCCTTGGCATTTTCCCTCACCATGCCTATAAATAAGAGTTGCTAAATCTTGCTCTGCATCCAACCTTTGAACATTAAAGGTACAGAGAAGAGAGAGAGAGAATGGAGTACTTCAGCTTCAAAGGATGTCTTCTTATAGTTCTCATTGTCAATGTGACATATTTTACTAAGACAGAAGCTCAGTCCTGCAGACCAAGTGGTCATATCACAGGGAAAAAGCCACCTCCTGGACAATGCAACCAAGAGAATGACAAAGCCCTACACCACATACAAACGTTCACCTCCAGTGTCTGGAAATACTAAGGCAGTTCTCACCTTAAACAGTTTCCAAAAGGATGGAGATGGCAGCGGGCCATCAGAATGTGACAACCAGTACCACTCTGATGACACACCAGTCGTGGCATTGTCAACAGGATGGTACAGTGGAGGAAGCAGGTGCCTCAACAACATCAAAATAAGTGCTAACGGGCGGACTGTGACTGCTATGGTTGTCGATGAGTGTGATTCCACTATGGGATGCGATGAGGACCATGATTATCAGCCTCCATGTCCTAACAACATCGTTGATGCCTCTAAAGCTGTGTGGAAAGCATTGGGTGTGTCCGAGGATAACTGAGGCGACTTGGATATAACCTGGACCGATGCTTAGTTTGAGCTACTGTTTTATTATGATTTTCTTATCGTAACTTATGCTGGCATGAATTGTCAGACTGTGTATACTTTGTATTTTCCTAGCTCTACTAAACTGCTGTATCATGAACTTCTTATTAAATGAATGGTGGAATGTAGTTTCCTAATTTGAATTCCAACTTTTTGGATGATTATGTAGACATAAACAACAAACAAAACTGATATGTTAGGCATGAGAAGATTTTCTCTGCAGTATTTCATAGAAATAAGATCATCCAAATCGAAAGTGCTACTCTGCATGACGCCTGATTGTGAATGTCCTTGAGATCACAAATTTTTGGATTTTAAGCTCCTGCAGCAAAAGTAAAATTTGCAGCTCCTGCATTCAGATATATGTATAATGTTATTCTATGCAAATCGTTTATCCTTAGCAGCTCTCTCTCTGAAAGGGTGTAGCTGAAAGGGCACTCCATAATTTGCTCTTGTAATCAGTCTATTACGAGGATCTTCCTTCCTAAGTCAATGTGCTTTCATATATTCGACTTTCACTCCCTATGTTTGGTATCAGTGCATCGCAATTTTTTTTGCCTAAAATCCGAATTGCCTTATCTTTGCCTCCGCCACAACCAATGAGAGACAATTTAGGAAACCTGGAAACTCTCTTCCATTCAAATTGGAAATACGGAAGTTTGTAGATTCAAATTTTTTGTGAGAAATTTTTCCTTGACTCCCATTTTTATAAGAATGACTATGTTATCTGTACTTTAACCATGACATGAACATTCAAAAAGGAGTTCTGGGATAATTTTAAGCAGCTAAGAGTAGACAAATGGAAAGAAGCTGAGGCTCAAATGGCATATTCATTGGCACTCACTGGCAGCATCAACGGATTAAAGTAGATCGAGAAGAAGCAAAAAAAAAAGCATCAAGTCATTCGCTATGTCAATTTTTTGGTCACGAATATTTCAGTTGATCTGCATGTTGATGTGTTTTACATGTAGAGAAGAGCACATTTTGTACTATTCAAGTCCTTTTTACACCTTTCAATCAGAAGGTATCTATTAAGCTTATCACAATCTATCAAATTGCAGGAGGACAGTGTAGAAACAATCAAAGTGATCTAAAAGCTAGTTTCTTCCAAATGACTCCATTTACATAAAAACGAATCAAGCAGAACCAGAAGTTGGAAGTCAGAATCAAGGATGGTATCATATCCAGACAGGGTTGAACTTGCCATTCCTCCGTAGTTGACCACTGTTGGAACATTCTAGCGTCTGAATTGAGACCAGCGATATCTCTATATGAGCATTAGGCTACTATTACATAATTCTCTTTTAAGTTTTTATTAATTTTTCATGTTGATGGGGACTAATACTAGGATTCCCTTGTTTTATGTGGAATGAGGACTACTAAAACAAACTTTGTGCCTTCGAGATCCTCCAGACTGCATGACAAATATTGGGCAATATGACACAGCAGCTACTTTATCCCACTGGTGATTAGAGAATATGACAGACTAGCACTCAAGTATGCAACCTTGTTGGAAGAGGGTGATATATTATTCACAATAAATACTTGGAATAAATGTGAGTGAAAAGGGATACTCAAACTAAGAGTAAAGCCCCATATATATAGTCAAATAATAATACAAAGTGACCAAAATATCTTTGTGGTTTAGGCAAAATATAAAATCATAGTAAGGATAAAAAAGGGAAAAAAAATCCTAATAAACTAAACTATACTCCAACACTCCCTCTCACGCTAGGAGCAAAAATATTAACTAAGTCAAGCTTGACAATAGAGTCCCGAAGAATGGATAGAGTGACATGTTTGATGAAAACATCCGCAATCTGATCACTGGTCCCCATAAACAATGGAGTGACAATACCACATCGAACCTCTCCCGAAGAAAGTGAACATCGATCTCTATATGCTTTGTCCACTCGTGTAATACAAAGTCAGAAGCGAGCTGAATAACAGATCGATTATCACAATATAATGTAGATAAAGAAACCACTGAAAATCCCAACTCGCCAAAAATCGATCGTAGCCAGATAATTTCACATGAAAATGAAGATATTGAGCCTTGGAGCATTTGTGTTTATACTGTTCATTCTCTTTGTAACAGATGTTTTACAGGCTGAAGCTCAGGCCTGCAAACCAAGTGGCCATATTACAGGAAAAAAACCACCTCCTGGACAATGCAACAAGGAGAATGACTCTGACTGCTGCGTTCAAGGCAAGCCCTACACCACCTACAAATGTTCACCTCCTGTGACTGGCAATACTAAGGCAGTTCTCACCATAAATAGTTTCCAAAAGGGTGGAGATGGGGGTGGGCCATCAGAATGCGACAACCAGTACCACTCTGATGACACCCCAGTCGTGGCACTATCAACCGGCTGGTACAGTGGAGGAAGCCGATGCCTCAACAACATTAAAATAAGTGCTAATGGGAGGACTGTGACTGCTATGGTTGTTGATGAGTGTGACTCTACTATGGGATGTGATGAAGACCATGATTATCAGCCTCCATGCCCTAACAACATCGTTGATGCCTCGAAAGCTGTTTGGAAAGCCTTAGGTGTGCCTGAGGATAACTGGGGCGGTTTGGATATAACTTGGACCGATGCTTAGTTTGAACAACTATTTTATTATGATTTCCTTTTTCTAGCTTATGCTGGCATGAATTGCTAAACTATGTATACTTTCTACTATCCTAACTCTACCACATTGTTGTATCATGAACTTCTTATTAAATGAATGGTGGAATGTATCTTCCTCATATGAATTCTAACTTTGTGGATCATCATGTTTACATAAACAATGAACAAAACTGATATATTACACACGAAATGATTTGCTCTGCAGTACTTCATAGCAATCAGATCATCAGTGACGCCTGATTGTGAATATACTTGAGATCACAAATTTTCAAATTTTAAGCATTGGTAACAACTTCTGTAGCAAAAAGAAAATTTCCAGATCCTGCATTCA